CTGCTCTAGCACCCCCTGGCTTCTAGCCTGAGCCATTGCAGACATGTGCCTGCATTTCTTCAGTCCAGAGGGAATGTCTGAATGGTTACAAACTGGTTCAGCCTAGCCAGGTTAGACTAACCTACAAAGATAGAATCAATTCAGGCACAGGCTTTTTTAATTTCTGCCCCTAGCCAAAAGTCCAAAGAGGAATCGATTTAACTTACACTGGTTCTGTAACCTAGGTTAACTGGTAGTGAACAGAACGCATAGTCATCCTTTGGTGAAGGAGGCAAGGCATGCAGGCTGCCTGCACTGGCCAAGGCCAACCGATTGGGGTTGCTCCTGCACACCTCGCAGCAGGCCCTGCAGGGCTGCTGGATACTGCCTTTTTGGCTGCCAGGCATGTGAGCATGTCCCCTGCCATGTCAGCCCATGCCCCACCTGCTCCTGAAATTTTCACAGGCATCTGTCTGTTTGCCCTGGCTTGGATGCTCAGTGTTCCCCTGAACCCTAGTAGAATCATAGCATCATAGAAAATCAAAGGTAGAAGGGACCTCAGGAGGTCATCTAGTCCAGCCCCCTGCTCAAAGCAGGACCAATCCCAACTAGATCATCCCAGCCAAAGCTTTGTCTATCTGGATCTTAAAAACCTTCAAGGATGGAGATTCCTCTCTGTGTAATTTATTCCAGTGTCTCACCCTCCTAGTGAGAAAATTCTTCCTAATATATATATAACTTAAACTTCCCTTGCTGCAACTTGAGAACATTGCTCCTTGTTCTGTGATCTGCCTCCACTGAGAACAGTCCAGCTCCATCCTCTTTCAAACCTCCCTTCATGTAGTTGAAGGCTGCTATTAAACCCCCTCAGTCTTCTCTTTACCAAACTAAATAAGCACAAACTTGCTGAGGATGCACTCTATGCCATCTTCCAGGTCATTGATGAAGACATTGAACAAAACCAGCCTGAGGACCGCCCCTAGGGCACGCCACTTGATACAGGCTGCCAACTAGATATTGAACCATTGATTACTACCCTTTGAGCCCGATGCTCCAGCCAGTTTTCTATCCACCTTACAGTCTATTCATCCAGCCCTTACTTTCCTAGCTTGCCTATGAGAATGTTGTGGGAGACCATATGAATAGCCTTGCTAAAATCAAGGTACACCACATTCCCTGGTCTCCCTGAGTCCACAGAGCCAGTTACCTTGTCATAGAAGGTAATCAGGTTGAAGAGGCATGACTTGCCCTTGATGAATCTGTGCTGACTGTTCCTAATCACCTTCTTCTCCTCCAAGTGCTTAGAAATGGCTTCCTTGAGGATCTGCTCCAGGATTTTTCCTGGGGCTGAGGTGAGGCTGACTGGTCTGTAGTTCCCTGGATCCTCCTTTTTCCCTTTCTTAAATATGGGCACTATGTTTATACTCTGGGACCCTGTAGCTGCAGGTCAAAAAAGCCTTGCAGCCCCCCAGGTGCCCATGGCCTGGGTGCCTACCAGCAGTGGCTGAGCTATGGAGGACACAGGGTTGCGTCCATGCAGGCACATTTCTGAAGTTCTGCCCCCTGCCACCTTGACCCACCAGAGGCGAGTCATTGGCACCAGTTCCTGCTTGGAATGGGAGGGGAGTCCATGCTGGGGTCCAGGTGGCAGGATGCCAGCTACTGACCATTGAGATGTGGTGTGCAGGAGCTAGGGTTGCAGTCTGCACCCACATGAGGAGGCATGTGGGTCCCTGGCTGGCTGTGCAGGAGCCAGGGTTGCAGTCCATGGGGCTGTGTCCACTATAGGGCTTTGGGAGTTGCAGTCTGTGCGGCACAGCCTGGGGATGCAGGTGCCCAGGTCTGGGGGTTTGTGCAGGGGATGCAGATGTCTCCCTTCCATCCCTTCGACCCTCTCCCCCACAACCTGCCAATGGATGACAGATCATCACAGGCAGGGAGTGGAACTGCAGAAATGGTTTGTGCTGACTCAATTCTGGGAGAGGTTGGGGAGCTCATTGAGTGCTCAGCTGAAGCAGCCAAGCATGGGCCAAGTGCTAGTGTGGCCCCCTGTGAGCGTGTAAGTTGTGGGGGGCCAAAAAGGAGCTTGGGATGCTAGAGACAGCAATCTAATTAAAATCAGTAGGGGATCTGATACAGCAGTTTGATGCACTGGTCTAACCTAAATCAATTAGATTTGAATGCACATTGAACTAGGTCTATTTTAGAATAAGTTCCACCATTTTTATATTGGTCTATGTGCACCAAACTTCTGTATGTTTATAGGTTTAGAACAATTTCCAAACACTTAGACTGTTTTATGTATAATTTCTGTACTTGGCTTTAATGATCATGATTTTTTGGAATGATACCTTTGTAAGTGATATTTTTTGTCTTTAAAATCATGTACTATATTATTGTCCAGTAAGCTAAAAAAAAAGTTGTTCCACCTAAAACTAAGACTGACCTTAAAAATCAAATCTAAGGAGAATGAGGAGTAAAAAGTGGACGAGGACAGGGAAAAAGCATAAAATTAATTGTATATGGCCAAAAGATGATTTATGGCACTTGCTATACATAGTGCAGCACAGGGATGGAAATAAGTTCTGTCTGCTTCTTTTATTCATTGTGCTCTTTTTTCCCCCCTTCTCTCAGTATGTGAGCCCATTTCTACAATCTCTGCATACATGAGTATCCTCATTGAATTCATTGGGATTACTCATCTGAGACACTGCTCTTTGTGTTGGGGGTTGCAATTTTAGTTTTGTTCAAACATTGTTAAAAAGAAGAACCTAGGAAGTCACAAGATTCCCCTTTTCCAGTGCAGGGTCCTAACTACAGCACACTCTTATTTCATTGTTTCCTATCAGGTAGCTCAGGCAGAATTCTGGATATCATGATTCCATTCAGAGATGCTGAACTTTCCCTATGAATTGTGTAGGAAACCTAATCATTTGACTCAGGGCTGTGGATTCTTCTGTGGGGGTCAGGTATGTTGGAAGTCCGTCTTTGGATCTGGCTCTAAATCCTTCTTAACTGAAGTTAGGAGAAATTTACAATAAGCAAGAACTTCAGTGCCATATACAAACTAAATTATCAAGGCAACTAAATAGCTTTTCAGCTGAAAACTGTCTGACAATGCTGTCTGACCTCATTCATGTAAAATCTCTCTCTGGTGCTACGTATAGTTTGTGGGATTTAAACAGGAAAAAGCAGAGTCTATTTTTATGGAGAATGTACTACTATTTATTTTAAATGTAAAAGCACTTTCAGCAATAAAATATAATAGCAGAATAACTTCCAAAAGAAAGTAGGAATGCAAAAAAAAAAAAAAAAGAACAGGTCAGTTCTGTATGTTCCCCACTGCAAATAGGGACACTCTCCTGACCACCACACTAGGACTGCTTAAACCTAGCAGGATCCACCCAGAGTATCAGGGCACGGAGAAGACTTGGAGCGCCCTAGTCCTTCATCACCAGTATCACTGGTCGGCGTGGCAAGTCGCTGATGGAGAGGTGATCTTGGTCACTGAAGAGGACGATTCCAGTGTCCTGAGATTGTATGGGACCATGTCCCCGGCATGGATAGCTTCAGACAGTACATCCCGTGATGGCGGAGGATATGGATATTATTGTGACCCTTGTCATGACTATGAGCTCAAAACGTGTCATCCAGAAGAGTCAGTTCAAGCATCTGAACTACGAGGTTTCCAACTAGCTCTTGAACATGCCTACTGTCACCACAATGGGACACTTCCGGTACCTGTTATAGCTGTAGATTCAGAATATATATACAGGATTGTCACCGGAAAGGCGCAAGCTACGGAACACACGACTCTCTGGGACGATGTCAAGACCATTTTGTCACACTTCTCTGTTCGCCCCTTAATTAAACACATGCGGTATCACCAACCCGATACAGATCCTGTACATGCCATTATATATCAGCTGCTGGCACACCAAGGATCCATGGATGAGAAGGAAGTGCCTCAGTTACATGTCGCCAACATTGTAGACATTGATCC